GCGTTTAAAAAGTAAGAAATGGGGAAGAAAAAGGGAGAGGCAGGGAAAGGAGGGGGAAAAAAAGGGGGGGGGGGGGAGCCAAAGGTGAGTAAGGCAGACTCTAGGTGGGGGTTGGCAAGACTGGGGATGGTGAGTCTGTGTGGGGATGTGGGGGGGGGCAGTTACAGTGTGGGGTTGTCAGTCTGGGGATAGAGGGATCTGGGGACTAAAAATAACCCAGTCAGGGTCAGCATGGTAGGAAGAGAGCAACCCTGGGACTGGGGCAAGTGGCTAGGCTTTCCCAGCCCCAGGGCTGCATTCCCAGACGTTGAATATATTGGGCTAACCCATTCACGATCTAACTCAGTTTACTTATTTCACTTCTGAATCCCTTATGATAAGCCTTGCTTTGATCAAGGGTAACTATAGATCCATAAGTTTCTAAGTAACCTATCAAGGATCTTTGAAATTCTGGATAAAGGATTTCTGGAATGACTATTTTGTTTACTTCTTTATAGCTTTTACGTAGCTGCAATGTCCTATAAGGTTTTTCCGATATGTACCATTGGTGAGGAAGTGGTAATTTTGACTTTTTGTCTAGCTTCACAGATTTCTTATGCAGCTTTTCATCTCATGATAGAATGATCAAAAGAATGGTTTTATATGGCTTCTAGACAGAAGTCTTTATCATTTTATTAATGATTATTGTCAAATTTAAGTACAATCTACATTTTAATCAATGCTTGCAAAGTTGTTGTATATGTCAGTTCTCTGTCCACTTCCTGTTTTTCTTTTGTAAGGTATTACAAATTAAAAAAAGACCCCTACATCATTATGGATGTGTGTGATATGTCTGAATATGTTTGGCTAGCACTGGAGACTAGATATTTACTTCCTCTTAAGGAGGGTACATCTCCTGGCTTCTGTGGCAGGTGCCTAGGATAGACAGTGGCAACCAACCATAGTCATCCCGTCACAGTTGCAACAACCTTCGGGGAATCTGCAGGTTGGAGCAAAAGTTGTATGGGGGACTATGTTAAGGGAGTGTAACAGGGGGCCTGCTCGGGGCCAATCTAACCGTGGCCCGCCCACCTGTTCCTGGACCAACTGCCCGCGTTCTCACCTGCCATGCCTTATTGTTATAATTAATTAGTATATATTAATAAGCAGGAGGCTGCTCATTTTCTGCCCCGATGCCAGGGGGCGCTATCTGCAGCTCCTTTCCTCCCCTACACCGCAGCCCAAGCCTCGCAAATGGCATCTTGATATTCTCACTATCACCAGCCCCCACACTGGGCCCCAGAATCCTCCTGATTGAACCCAAACCTGGAATCCTCTCCTCAGGCGGTGTCATCCGCCATCATATTGGGCAGCATAGCTCCCTGACCCATTTCCCCTTCTGGGTGTGGTCCCTCCACCAGGACCTTCAGCTCTCTAGCCTTGGCCCACCTCCAGGACAGTCAGAACCCCAGGCCCTCCACTCTTGGGAGTTCCTCGTGGTGGGCCCCTGGCCCTTGGACCCTTCTGGTCCTGGCCCCAGCATGGGCCAGTCAGGGGAAGTTCAGACAGGGTTTGAGTCTATGCCCCTTTCCTCTCTCTGAGGGTCCACTCTCTGGGCCCTCCAAAACAAAGGGTAACCCACCTGGTTGTGGGGGCTACGGGTTAAGGCACCCCAACTTGCCTTTCACCGGGGTGGTAACTGGCCTGGCATTTCCTGGGGGCTTCCGCGGCACTGGGAGCCCCACCAGGCCACCCACTCCCAGCAGGGTGCTGTTTTAGGTTGCACCCAGTACCAGAAGCCTCCTATCCTTCCCCTACAGCTCCTCCCTTACCTCCAGAATGGTATCAGCAGCCCTCCGGCCAGGTGATGCTGTTGCCTACCTCCAGTAGCAGAACCGCCCTGTTTATATGGGCAGCCCCAGATCCAAAATGGCTGCCCTCATCAGGTACCTGGCGGTTGCCAGCTCCAGGCCCTTAAAGTGGCAGGCACACACGGTGCCCTGCCACAGGGAGATACCAGTAAGCTTCCAGGAAACCCTAAGTGCTTGGTAGGCCTGTGCAAAGCAGCAAGTATTCGATTTGGATTCAGATTGGGCCGATTCGAGGAACAGTGATTCAACTCAGTGACTCGAATCGCTGTCCCGATTCGATATGGCTGATTCAGATTCGGAGATTCGGCTACCGAATCAGCTACTGAAACTTCAGACAGCTGTAACAGATAGGGATGTGTTCTCAGGCAGTGAGGTAGGGAGGGAGTGAGGGTGAGCCTAGGTAATGGATGGAGGGAGAGGTGTCATTACTGGGGCTGCACTGTGCTCCTCCTGTCTCCCTGCACCTGGGCTCTGCCTATCCCCATGCACCCCAGCTCCTGGGCTGCACCGTGCCGTGGTTCAGGCAGCTGGTGTCAGCTGCTCCTGAGGCCGCTGCAGCATGGGCTGTGGGGAGTGGCAGCAAGTGGAGTCGGGCAGCGCAGGACATGGCGCAGCTTGTCTGCACTCACCCTAGCCCCTGCTGCAGCGGCCCTGGGAGAGACTGATGCCAGCTGCAACAAGAACTGTTAGTGCGGGGAAGGCGTGGCATGCCTCTTGCTGCTCCATGCCCCCCTGGGAGGGCTGTGGGGTTGTGTTGGGCTCTTCCCAGGGGTGCATGCCCCCAGATCTGCACGTCAGGCAACAGCAGGTTGGCACTGCAGGCTGGGGCTGGTGGCAGCACCAGGCTGATTCTTCCCGGTGTTCAGTTATAACATTCAACTATTTCTCCATGGGACAAACAGATTCACTCTCTAAATGCTGCAGAAATACTTGACCTTTCATCCCTTACATTTCTTTGATTGTTCCCTGAGTTTGCATCCATTTACTCAGCACCAGAAAAGCCTGCTCTATTAAGATGTATAGACAGCCTGTCTTAAGTAATAAATTTTCAATTGCCAGCACTTTGTTGACTGTCCATGTCTGCTAGGTGGCACGCACTCTGAATTTAACAAGTATTCAGTGGATGCATCTCCACAAAATGCTTACTGCAGTTACCTAATTAGCTCTGCAGTAAAGCATTACTATCCATTTGAGCAGTGTTATTAGGCTAGAGTAAACTAATTAACTCTGCCATAGGATGGTACTGCCCAACACAAGTACTGTTCTCAGGTGGAGTTATTTAATCTGTTGCAGCACATGTATGACTGAGGCTGATGACTGAGGCTTGGCACAAGGGTGCTACAGCGCAGGGCTACCTGCTGGCTAGCCCCACACTGTAGCACACTCGTAGGTGATGCGTAGGGAGGGTTACGTGGGGTGGGGCACGTGGCCTCACTGTGATTGGCCACTGCCAATGCTGCCACCAGCATCTGCGGGCAGTTGCCGCTTGCCACACCCCCCTCACCACCAACACTGCTGCGATCTAGGTGGTCCCTGCTTGGCCCACTTTCACCACTAATGTCACTGCTGTCACCTGCGGGCAGTCCCCACTTATCACTGCCACACCCCCACTGCCACCATGCCCCAACAGCCTCAGGAGGCACGAGTCATTAACGAGCACCCTCATGCCCCAGCCAGCTCCTCCACAGCATGCTGAGCCAGGGTAGGGCAGCTCTGGGCTGGCAGGCCCTGTCAGCCAGGGTTACATCGCCCCTGCTCAACATTTTCTGGTTCCAGGCGCGTACGTAAACACTGCACCCAAGCGCAATAAACTCCAGTGCGAACTGTACTGAGTTTACTGTGTTGCATTAATTTACTGTGTGCCCAGTAAGATTTTTACCGATAAAAATCTCAGTAAAGACCAACCCATCATCCCTTTTTTCGTTTTGATTCCAGGTAACCAATTTCAAAAACTTGTATTGCTTTTATAGGCACAACATTGTAAACTGAAAATAAACTTACTTATTTTACTAGCATCTTCAACTATTAACATTGAAAGCTATATCTTAAAAGTCTAAAAGTTTGATTCTGCCAATACTACCAAATGTATTGCTTACTTTGCTAAGCATTCTATTTATTTAAATATATATTAAATGTGAGTGATCACATAACTGAAGTTACTTACATGTTAATTGCACATAAACCTCCTCAGTTTAGGACTCTTGCTTACTTTCACTTTTCCAGAACCAGAGCATTTCTCAGGTCCTGCTCACTGATCCATCACCATTAAGATTTCCAAAACTGAAAGAAAATGCTTAACTGCAAAGTATGTTTTAATTTAATGACACGATTAAATTAAATCATATATAAATAAAATGATGTAATGAATTAAATTGATTACACAGCAACAGGAAAAGTGGGAAACATAAGTGAGAAGCTATATTAAGTGTAAGGGGTGACATGAAAGAAGATGTGAGGCTGACAGTGAAGGGATATATGCTAACTCTCTAAAGTTTAACTGGCAAAGATCAGAATGTCTCCAAAGTAACAAAACCCTCTGAACTGTTAGGGGAGATTCTCCATGTCTGCTAACCTGGGTCAAGCTTCTGCTGCCATTTAGCAGGCAGCTGAGGGTGTGTAGACATACCAATATCTTCAACCAGCTCTGTGGTCCATTTAACCTCCGGTGTCTTCCCAGGGCACACTGTGTTCTGGCAGTACAGCCGCTCTGTGAAGCTTTGCAGAGTCGTTCCAGTAATATAACTTGTGAGGGAGGAACGTAGTTATGGCAGGGCATACCAAAATCACGATTTTATGCTCTTTGCAGAAAACACAAAATCAGGTGTTTTCCACAAAAAATGGTGGACTTCATGATTTGGGTGGGCTTGCTGTCAGGGGAAAAAAATCCTAACTTACTAGCAAGCAGAGAAAAGGGCAGGAAGCCCTGCAGTCTGGAAGCACAGGGGGAGAGGGGGAGGAGAGGGAGCAAATGAAAGGTTGAGCCTGTGACATACACTCAGTACAGGAGCCAGTCTGGGGCCCATCAGGGACGCAAAAGGATTTTGGTGCTGTCTTTCAAGCATGCTGCAGTCAGAGGAGGATTGAGCAAGGATGAACATAGAAGAAATCCTTCAAGACAGCCAAATACATTTCAGCGCTAGACCGTGGAAGGCAGTATCCTGCAGGGACCTTGCATGAAGATGGAGACAGACTGTTCTGTATTGCTTGCAATGTGACACTGGATGTGTTGAGGAAAACCAGTATAGATCAGCACTTGGAGTCTGAGGCATACATGAAGTCAAAGGCTGTTGCAGAAGCTGAAGGTCAGAGCAAGACACCTGCAACCATGTCTCTGCTCTTTAAAAGGACTACAGAAAACAGCTTGGCAAGGCAAGTGGCAGAATTTTCCCTCATACATATGTGGCGGTGAATATAGTTTCATAGTTTCTAGGGTCGGAAGGGACCTGAGCAGATCATCTAGTCTGATCCCCTGCCATGGCAGGAAAGAGTACTGGGGTCAAACGACCCCAGCAAGGTGTTCATTTAACCTCCTCTTAAAAACCCCCAGGGTAGGAGCCAGCACCACTTCTCTTGGTAGTTGGTTCCAGACCCTAGCCGCCCTGACCGTG